GACTGTACGTTTAATCGGAAAACCTTTCGTAGAATATCCTCTGAGACGTTGAAATATCATGCGGTAAATATAGCAGGTAATGTACTGATGTACTGATGTACCCGGTCAAACACCTGTCGAACTACACTCACCTTGTACTGTTCACTCAACACATGCAATGCATTTTTATCTCCCTATAACCGCACTACTCGGTGAAACTTATCGCCAAAAAATCCTTCTGCCAATAAGCTGGAATACCAGTTTGTCCTCGATCAATTGGGGACCAATTAAGTCTTCCCATGATACAACGTTGAGCGCCAACCCACATTTCCACACATAATCATCCAGCTGGTGGCTTCAAACCGTGCTCAGCTTTTATCTCAACTAATTGCCAACACAACCTTCAATTTATCTCAAATTGCACAACCCCCCCAACCCTCGTCCCTTGTATGTTTTTATTTTTGACATATTTCCTCGGGACATGCAGCAGGTGCACCACACAGCCCGAGCTGGCTGCCGTCGTCCGACAGAATATGAGCGGTCCAGCCGGTTAAACTAGCGAAGAAGCCGACTGAAAGCAACGTAAAGTCTTCTGTTCCTGCGACCAGCCACCGACCCCGATGACTGACAGACGCACAAAGGATGCAACCGGCCCGCTGACGGAATAACTCGCTCCTTTCCAGCGATTCCGGCAGCCTCTGACTGACTGCCGCGGGCTCCTGATGCCTGTCCATTGGAGGACGTGGCGCTGATCCAGAAACGCCTTCCTCGTGCGTGCACCTCCCCGGCTCTGAGACGCACGGCGGACGGGGTGAATAACCGCATTACTGACTGGCTGCCTGGCTGGTTAATTACCTTCCTGTCTGTCTGTTTGTTGCGCTACCCAAGGACATCCATCCAGCTCGTACACAAACTATTTCACAGTTACACACACGTCTCTCCTCTCCGGAGTGACAGCGGGAATATTTCCCTGTTTACTCGAGTGCCACTTTGTGATTAAAAACTAATCAGGTTTCAGGCAGGCCGGGATCCCCCTCCACACTGACACAGAATGAACGGTAATCATCTTAACGGGGGAGTGAGGAGCGAGAGGCCGAGGGCCGGGGGGGGGGAGGAGGGAAGTAAAACGCCGAGAAGGGAAGGTGAGGAGTCGGGTGGAAAATAGACAGATAAAGCGAGAGCGGCGTCGGATCCAGAGACAACTTGGGGGGAGGGGGAGGGGGAAGGAGAGGGGGAGGGCGTGGGGGTTATGTGTGATACTGTAACACAACATTAGCGCCGGTGCCAAGGCCGCTTTGTCTGGTCAAGTCACAAAAGGTGACTCTTCCTGGAACAAGTCTTCTGTTTGTGTCCTGCTCCCTGCTGAAGATCCCTCTGCTGCTTCTCCAGTGGAGGGAAGAAAGGAACCACTTCAGATGACGTTGTTTTCCCGCTGAGTCGGGTGAACAAGGGCTGCTGCATGAGGAACAAAGCTGGACTCCACACACGATTATTACTCTGGGGAAGTGATTTGTCATATTATCGATTTATGTTTTTATTACACTTAATTCAGCCAGTGCAGTTATCCGCTGAGATAAAGATTAGATTTATTTTTTGTGTGACAGCATTGTCAGATTGTCTAGGAACACGAGAGAGAGAGAGAGGACTCGTACTATTAAATCCCAGCCATAAGAAGTATCATTGATTTGTTATTCACAATAAAATAGTTTGAAGAATGAATAACTAAGTGTTCTTTAACACTTTTAGTTATGAACCAAACTTTATGTCGACAAATTCAATGTGTTCCCATTCAACAGTTTGTCGGATGTCTCGCGAAAAAGCTGCTTTTATTGTTTTTATTTAAGATTTCTGTTTTTTATTTGCATATCCCGCCAGATTAATACTGTGCGAGAGCTTTCGCCTTCACTATGAACTCTGGGAGGGTAACCTGGGGGCCGATGCGTCCTGTAGTTACCCAAACTAAAGTGCAAAATCACACCAAACCAAGACCTGGAAATGAACTGCTCCAAAATGTATTTATTGCCAGGCTTTGCCTTTTGGTTTTACTCAGAAAGAAATGATTTGTTTGCACATGATATGAATTTCTCTGTGATTTGTCTGAACAACAAACACACTGCAATAGAATAAAGAAACGGGCTGATCGGTCTGCCTACGAAAAACCTAAATATGCCACCCAATTTCTTCATGTAGACATTTCTCATGCACATATTAAGTAGCCAGAAACCCAACCGACTACTTTCCTGAGAAGGATGCATGAGAAACATGTGTGAGGAGGCACTTCTCATACATGTGAGATACAAGAAGGCTTCCTTCTGACTACTTTATGCAAAGGTAATGGCTCTTCTGAAAACACCATGAACATAAATTGGATGTAAAGCTTCCATCTCGGCCTTTCTGACAAACGTTTAAAGTTCCACAGCCAGCAGCTTCCTGCTGACCTCCTGCTGACTGTTTGCTCCGATAACACGCTCCAGTTCCATCACATGGGGCCCGTTAGCTGTTGAGACGGTTTCCAGCCCTGCGCTATCGTCCTTGTCCCTGCATCTGTCCCTCCGTCTCCCAGCTGGAGATGCTCAGTGTGCATAAACAGGTGCAATAGTTCACCTCCACCCTCTTCTTCCTCCTTGCTTTGTCCTCTGCCTCTCGAGTCCTCGCCTCCTCCCGAACAGCCTCTCTACACTCCCTCCCTCTCCGCCTCTCGCCGGCACACACAGCGTTTGTCCTCCTTTTTTTTCTGCTATTGATTCCCCTTCGATTTCCTTCTGTCTTTCCCCCAGTGGGACACAGAAGAGAAAAGTTCAGTCAGGTGCAGAAGTTGACCTCTCCGCCCTCCTCCTCCCTCCACAGCCCCCATTCCCAGGGGCACCGCGGTTGGCACGAGGCTCACACATTTCCTCCTCCAGCCACCTTTCTGTTTTTCATTCGCGCTGCGCAACGTTTTGCTCCTCATCTCTCTCAATTTTCTCTTTCCAATCAACTAGATCCATGCTGGATCTCACAGGCACTGGTCCGTAATACGAGAACTCTCTCCTTCGTTTTCTTTCCGTCCCATCTCAGACACAACCAACGCAAAAGGATGATTGGGAAGATTCAATCAAAACACTTTATCAGCCAACTTATTGATAATGAAACTATTTATCTCACCGAGTTCTAAGAGCACACAATGCTTTAGTTCACGTCGTAGGGATCAGTCTTCTCTAGTACTCACATCCTCACCGCGACAATATAGTAAAATATCTGGACCAAACTGCAGATTTAAGGTATCGTTTTACTGCCCCGTCCTCTCACTTTGTTCTATATTCCCTTGTTCCTTTCACCTCCTCCTTTGTGCCTCCCCGCCGTCTCTTTCTCTCCCAAGCTTTTGTTGTGCCTCCAAAGGGCAGCCTGACCTTTCTCTGTGTTGCTCCCCTAGGAGTGACTGAATGAGATCTGTGTGTATGTGTGTGTGTGTGTGTGTGTGTGTTTGTATACTTTGAATTCATGCAATTCTCACTTGACGTTTCTTTTTGATGGGATGCAAAGAGAAACGGAAACGCGGTTTCAAAGGTGGTTTCGAAAATAATTTCTGAATATTTTTGCTGCGGTATCTCCCATAAGGAAGGGGACTGCAACACTGAGATGGACAGTGCGTGTCTTTTATATAAGGAAAAAACACACAACAACCTCCACTTCTGCCCCGTAAAGTCAACACAGAGGTGTTTTGAAAGTGAAGCCAATTCTCCACGTGCATTCTCTGTAGCGCCCATCGGGGGGCGACTCCTTTGATTAAATAGAGAAAAGGACTTCTATTGATTCATTCCCTCAGTAAAAAGAGTTTATGGTCTCAATCTCAATACAGTATGATGTTCATTCAGTAAATAATGCTCCTTTTAGAGTAAAATACACCATAAAGCAGTAAATGCTTTAGGGCGGGGCTTAGGGTGATAGGCAGATCAAATGCCTAACGTGTCTGTAGGTTCACCGGAGATTACCAATGACATTCTCATATCCTCCTTTACTTACAAATATCAAGTCAGAGGTCCCCAACCACCGGTCCGCGGGCCACTCGGTACCGGGCCGGAAAGAGGTTATTTCGTCGTGTTTATTCGCCACTCCTTTTAAAACGGTCTGCAAAATATTTTCTAATATTAATCCGGTCCATGAGGCAAGAAAGGTTGGGCATCCCTGATGCGATTGGTTACCCAGGTCCACAGGTGACAGACTGGTTTGCATTTTTCACCATTCATCATCATCAAGTTTTCTTAAGGTTTATTTTACTAATGTGCACGGATCCCAGGAACAAAACCTTTCAACCATTTCAAATGTAAACTAAACAAAGTTTCAGCCCACAAATTCAATATAATTTTATAAAAAGAGCATTTATTTCAAAGTTTTTTTTCTTTTTTTTTTTGCTTCGGAGATTGAAGCACATAGTAAAGCAACATTACAATGTTCAGAAAATATAAGTGTGATGCTGTAACATTTTTTTTAATCGTATCTTCTTAACATGTTTCTGTTGTAATACTGGAATATTCTGCATGTATACTAAAATAAGAACTTTTAAAATTGTACAAATCGGTACCATAAAACTTGACAGAATAAAAACGAGGCGTTCTTTCGCTGCAACGAGATCGTTGTCCTCTTGAACAGGGAGAAAGACCCAAGTAACGCCTAAATAATGAAAACCAAAAATAAATGAAGGAAATAGGAAATGAGAGCTTGTATTCACTTAGGCACAAACCAGAGCTGATGTCTAACTTTAACTTTAAAGCTCTTAAAGAAATGGAAACCAAATGTAGCCTCTCCATGTTAAAGAAGGTAAAGTTAGCACAAAGCTGAACATGAATCTTTTCCTGTTTCTCTGCAGCTAAAGAAAGGACCATTATTGTCATAATAATGCTGATAATAATAATAATAATAAAAAAGCAACAATAATAATATAATAACATTAAAAAAGAGATTGTACAAGAAGCCACACGCTTTAAAAAGGAGGTTGAGGTTTCTGCCGTGTGTGTATGTATGTGCCCTTCTCTCTGGGGAGATCCGGTGTGCACGTTCTATGCTCAAACAACAGCGCGTGTTGATACAACAGGCGCCACTGCCCACATAGCCCGGTGCTGGGGGGTCGGAGGGGGGGTCGGAGGGGGGGTGGAGAACACAGCGCACATTTCAGCCGACTTACGTGCACCGTGGCGGCCACGAGCCGCACCTCCTGTTTCCAGGGTGCAAGTTGGACCCTGAAAGTGATACGCCACACATCCGCACATCGCTCTGTACATACCTAACACGGACCATGGTTGGCTTTCTGAATATACTTTTACTAAAAAAAAAGAGAATGCACTGCGTTGCAAGAGTGTCCGTTAAGTTTAAGGCGATTTTTTTTTAGAGCTCACAGGTTATTTTTTATTTTTCTTCTCGTTGTGATTGATCTTCATTGGTGGACTCTGGGTGAGGAAGTGATCATTCATTGGTGGACGCGGTATGGGCGGTGATTGTTGACCGTGGGGGTGCGGGGGCCAGTGGAGGGCAGATTTTCTCCTCACATCATTCTCTGAAGAATGAAAACAAAGAGTCATCCACAGTGTTTTTTTCTTCTTTTCTCCATTGAATCAATGTTCAATCCGTCGGGGTTAAACAAAAATAGTGTGTCTTTGTCACAGATGCTCTGTCCTGTGTGCATGTAGCTACTGAAGCTAGCGGTCTCTATCCTTTTGTAATGATCACCCCTGGAGTTGTTGTTTTTTTATTATAAGGCCACCATACTGTGAAGATGCTGTGAGCGTCTTCAAAGTATCAACAATCCAGAGTCTGTCACGCTTTCTGAACCACAGTACCTGTCGAATTCTGCACACACAACAACGGCATTTGAAAACGCATTTAGGGCGTATGTTCTTCTTCATTACCTTCTTATTCCGTTGATGGATCCCACACTAACCTCTTCTTTTAATTAGCTTGTATCTCCTGCTTTGTCTCTTACATACACCACAAAAAGGGCAGCCTAGAGGAATACTGCCCCCCCACCTTCCCCCCACCCCACACGTAGGAACCTGTTCAGGGAATTCAATCCCTCCCAGGAGCCATTGAGGAAGTACGTGAATCCAGTCCACAAAAGTACATAGAACTCCGAAAAACTAAACACTTAGCTCTAAGCAAGTCATTTGGATCACAAAAGCAACGTTTTTGTTTCCAACAATACTTTCAAACTGGTGACGTAATGGATCTCTCAGGCCTCCAACACTCAGGTCCGTAGAAAGAGAAAGGGAGACGTGGGGCAGGTGGGGAGCGAGACATTTGGGGGGAAGGAACTGGAAGCAGAGTCCAAGAGTTGGCGATGTGTTCATCAGCAAATCGTCCTGGACGAGCAGGGAGGAGCTGTTTACGTCCGTCGACTCGCTGGCGGGGGGTGGAGGGGGGGGGGTAGCTTGTAACATTCGGGTAGCTCATGGAATCAATAAATCAGAAATTGGCGGGGCGGGGGCTTGGCGTCCACTCTGTAAGACCACTGTTAAGAGTCGTCTTCGTCATCGCCATCGTTCATGAAGCAGTCTTTGGTCCCGTACAGATCCGCCAGCTTCTTAAACCTCGGCCCCCAGCTCTGCAGATAGTCATAATCCAAGTCGGACTCCGTTGTGACGGACTCGAGGGAACTCAGCGACCCGGCCAACGAGCCCCGCCCTTCGTATCCGTAGATCTGAATGGAGTCGTAAGGGGGGGCCGTCGGGTCGCCGTCGGCCTCGGCGATCCGAGTCTTGATGAAGTCGTCCACGTCGACGCTGTTGGCCGCGGCGGGGCCGGGCCTGATGGAAAACTGCAGCTCCGGTTTGATGTCCTTTCTTGGCAGGAAGCCGTTGGCGCCATCTGGGTTCTGAACAACGAGACAGAGGGAGAGAAAAGTTAGCCGGGAATGAGCTGAAGATGATTTGTGTTGGCATATGAGGTGCGTCATGTCGACACATCGGTGAACAACAAGGCTGCCGCTGACTACAGCAGAAGAGATGCTCTCATTCCGCTTCGACCCTGTTGCATACCTGAAGCGTGGCGATGTCGAAGGCCTCCGTGTCCTCCTCCCCGCCTCCTTCGTCATCGTACGTGATGATGTTCTCCCTGATGTCCTCCTCCTCAAACACAATGAGGGGCTCCTTCTTCTGACGCCTCAGCGCAACAAACAACACCACGATCGCTGTCGGGAGGAAAACACACAAATTACATCACAGTCCTCACGCGTTCTCGGTGAGGAACGGCGGAAAAGCCGGCATCCGATAATTAGCGTGCACTGTGGGAGGTATTCTAATTAGATCTCGGACAGTTTAATTAATATCAATACTGTTTTGCTGCACACACACGCGCCGTTTTAATTGTCAACACGTCGGACTTGTAAAGGGATTCCAGCTGTAGAGTACGATGGGTAGTTCCGGGAACAATGAGTACATTTCAGTAGAAAAGAAGAACGATAGCAGCTGGAATGTGGGCAGAGGAAGCAAACGAGACGCATTTAAAGACTTTCACTGTTTTTGAAAGTGCATTTTTCATATAACGAACAGAATCTGAGAAGGGCAGATGTGATGTACAAGTGACTCAGGGGCTGAACGCAGTGCAGTTCTGACTTTTTATCAGCAGTCCAGTTCTAATATGGACATTATCCAAGGTGGTTATTCTGACTCAGTCCCCCCTTTTTAGTAAATATAGAGCGAGCATCAAATATAAAGAGGTGGACTTTCTACCCCTTCAATGGGCCAGTGGGAATAAACATTTTTTCATTATGTGCGACAAACACATCAGAAAAAGACAACAAAGCTTAAAACTGACATACGGGTCTCGTCCCCTAATAATCATTTTGCTTTAACCAAATCCAATCAAGCACCTCGGCGACGTTTGGAAACCATGTTCGATTCATCTGAGACAAGAATTTGCGCAGATCATTCAAGGTATTCCGGCGCCGGCAAAGATCCAGATCAGTTTCATGTGCCTACCGAGCAGAATGACGATGCACGCCAGGATGGCTATCAGCGCCCCGGTGCTGAGGCCGGGGGGCAGCACGTAGGGCTCCACGTTGCAGGAGAGGATGGTGTCTCTGCTGTCACAGGAACACACCCGGATGGTCAGCGTGTTGGTGCTGGTCATGGCCGGGACGCCGTTGTCGTTTATCTTGATGGGGAGGAAGTAAACGTCCTGGGTCAGGCGGCTGAATCCTTTCCGCAGCACGTAGACGCTGGCCGTGCTGTCTGCAGGGAGGTGTGGGTAAAGGGAGGAGAACATCAGAGCCCGGAGTCATTTCACAAAGCGTAGGAAAACGTTTATTCTGAGATGAGCTTCCTTCAGGAGCTGAAACAGACTTAACATTTACATGAAGTAAATTACAAAGCAATAAAAGTAAAATGTATAAAAGCAAACTGCACTCAAGACGGAGCAACGTTAGGAAGGTACCTGAAAATTGCTGCATGAGGAGCAATTTTGAGCTATTAAATAAACACTTTTGGACGGACTTTGCCGAAGCCAAACTCCACCATCACCTCCTGCGTTTAATTCTTTCCCACAAACTTGAACCTTTACTGGAGCCTGGTCCTTAAACCTGAAAGCTGTTATCACTTTTACATCGGGAACTTCCTGCACATCCAACAGCAGCCGCACGCGGCCACGTTTTATCTCTCTGGCTTTCTATTTACCAAAAGAAGTCGGCGCTCCTGGTGATTATACTGAAATCTCACTTTTCGTCTCCTTTCGAATTTCCCCCAATTCTTGGTTTAGTGAAGCAAACCAATTACACAAATCTACGCGCACACACACAGTCCTGGAAAGGCTCACTGGTTTCCTATTGGGGGGAATGATGGTTGTACCTCCCACCACATTTCCTGCTGCATGACTGTAAGGTTTACTGTAGACAGCCACAATATTGATCCAAGACAACATTATTACTCTTAACATCCAAAGGAAAAAAAGACCCAGATGAAGATGCAGCTGGTGACTTGCATCGTTTTTACTTTAGAAAAAGTCATTTTGGTAAGTTGTATTAGTTATTTCTGCTATCTAAACTCTATCTCTCAATAAGGTCCCTAACCTCGTCTTCCCAATCTACGTATAGTCTCCTACCACGTGTCTCCATTAATAGTCTTCTTCTGTGTGTCCTAGAACCTCTTCTCCATCTAGTCTTCATCTCTTAGTCACTCGGTCTCTCTCTCCCAGCACTGACAAAACATAATTAAATCACGTGGCCCCCGAAGATATTTCTACAGACGGACCGAGACCCCCACTGCAATTAATACAGCCCGCACAACTTTGATCTGATGTGAGTGAAGGAGGGAGGGAGAGAGACGGCAGATGAAGGAACCGTAAGATCTGCATCTAAAAAGGGTCAGAAAGGGAAAGAAAGCCAGGAGATGAATGACGTGGCCCACCTCTGTTGTCTTTGAGGGAGAAGTTGTGGTTGTGTGCGACCTCCGGGGCCAGGCTGAAGGTGAAGTGTTGCCGGTGAGCCATCTCGTCCTTGTCCACCGCGCTGACGGTTTCAATAACCTGACGCCAACACGCAGAGAGACACCGGTCAGGAAGGAAAAGACACTGATGTGCAAAAGTGTGCGTGTGGGGGGGGGGGGGGGGGGTAACTAGCACATTGGTTTTTTCGCCGATGTTTGCGAAACACACACTGGCGTACGTACCCTCCCCGGCATCACCGTTTCACACATGAGGACTTCGTTGTTGGTGGCGAACTCCGGAGGGTTGTCATTCACGTCTTTCACTCTGATGTCAACGCGCACTTTGGTGTCTTGGTGGTGGCCTCCTGTACGCGCACACACACACACACACACACACACACACACACACACACACACACACGTAGTTTAAGTCATCCGTATTCTGCAGCGTACTCAAGTCGTTGTTGGCGTTGTGATCCACGTGCACCAAACACGCAGCCAGCTGTGAATATCTGCAATGGCCACTCAACTGTTGCTTTGCGTTTTGCAGATTTGCAGCACATTATAAACATTTAGTAGCCATGATCACATCTCATCGCCTCTCGGTCAAAATATTCATCCAGAGAATTAGCAAAGAAAGTTTTCTTTTGTTTCAACACTGCACTACCTCTTATATTTGTAATTCTAGTCGCTCCGGCTTCCCTCTCTGCCCTGTCATTACCAGGCATTTATTTAGCCATCCAGGGCCTCTTAGCGGTTTGCAAGGGTCCTCGTTTCGTGGGCGGCGAGCCCGTTTCCATCTGGCCGTCTGGCGTCTAGCACGCCACAGGGAAACCACGCGGCGCTCTGGCAGCTCCAGCCCCGACCACAGAATACCAGGGCGGGCTTCTGTGGCTCGCTAGCTGGAGATGTTTAAAAAAAAAAAGAAAGAAAGAAAAGAAAATGGTGGGGTCGGAGCCGGAAGGGAGGGGGAGGGGGCGGCGGAGGGCCTCTGAGTCGACTGGCGTTTCCCTCCACTCGCCCCTCGCTGCTTGTGGTGGGAATGGAAAATGTTCCGGGGTGTGCCTCAACTTTGGTTTTTCAAAGCGTCACAGCGCCGCGGCCGCCTTGTTTACTCAGTAACAGTGATGTGGAGACACGAGAGAGAAGGACGTGGGCCTTCTGCTTCTCTCTCATGTCTCCACATCACACAACCTTGTCAGAAGTTTAAATCCAAATCTTTTTGCCACAAGCGGGACATTCACTCAATAGCCAGATGATTTGTTTTCCGGCTACGTGAAGACAACACGCGACGCCATGTCGGCAAACCTTCTTACACATGCAGCATTTCCCTGCAATCCCGGGGGGGGGGGGAAGGGGTGGGGTGGGGTGGGGTGGGGTAACGCCTGGTTCCAATTGACTAACGTAGCACCGCCGAGCATCTGCAGAACGCTAATCCCTCCTGGATGATTCTGAATATATAATTCGTTCCCAAGGTTTTAAGCAGTTCTTCCCTGACATTCACAGCAAAAAAAAAAAGGAAAAATGCTAACTTTAGTCTTAGCCGGGGGGGGGAGAAAGAAAAATTAAGGGCAGCAGCTTGAATCCACTTAAATGTTGTACACTTAAGATGTCGTGCAGTTTCCCCGGCGCCACAGAATGACAGGTTGGGCTGCGGATGCCTTCTTTCATTTCCCTCCTTTAGTCCGTCTTTAATTTTGCCTCCATCTTAGAGCGGAATCTATCTGGTTTAGCGTTTCAGTCACACACGTGTCCGTGGATCAGCAGCCGCCTCACCTCCAAGCCGGCGCGTCCTTCGGACGTCCCTGAAGGACGCGTACGTCTTGTGTGCGTGCGCGTGCGTGCGTGCGTTCCTACCTATCTCTGTGGCCGACACAGAGATGTTGTGCCAGTTCTGTGCCTCTCTGTCCAGCGGCCTGGTGGTGGTGATCATGCCGTCTTCCGGGTTCACTCTGAAGAACTGCTCTATGTCGGTGTACAGAGGGATCATGTACCTACACGGGGGGGTGGAGACACACACGTTGTTACACGAGATTCCCTAGTGGTATTCCTGAGCTGGCCGCTGTAAGATGAAGTGTTACGAGAGGGGAACGTGGAGCTTTCAGGTGGATTGTTGTAGAGATAATTCAGTTACCAAAAAACAACAATTTAGCAAGCATCTATTTGTAGAGGCAACATCACTGCGTTTATAGGAGATAAATAAATAAAGTGATAAATAAAGCTACTAACTCGGTGTGTTTCTTCGTTGTTTTTATAATCCTTTTTTGCGTCGCTATTCTGTTGAAACCTCTTATCTGTCTTCTGCATAAAAATGTGTTGTGCAACGCCAAGTTTCTTCAAGTTATATTGTTTGTTCGCTCTAGCTGAAGGAATCTATTGCAATTGTTTGTTTTTGTTTTTTGGCAATTTTCCAATTTACACTGGTTGGAAAAATGTAAATTCCTCCACTGCAGCGAGCGTGACTCAGTGAGTGTGTCTGTGCGCGCGTTTGTGTTTCCTTGTTACCTGACGGGATTGTTGGCCACATCCGTGTCCTTGGCGTGGACTCGTCCCACCGCCGTTCCTTCAGGTGCGTTCTCCTCCACCTCAAACGTGTAGCTGGCGGCTACGAACACGGGAGGCTCATCTGCATCCTCCACTGATATCTGCAGACAAACACACACACAGTTAGAAGATGCCACACGCACGCTCACACAATGAAATCTGTCTGCTTTATTACACATGTGTACCTTTATTGTTGCTTCGTCCTTATACGGACCCCATGCAATGTATTGGGGGTCAATATACGGGTTGGATCCCTCCACCTTCAAAGTGTACGACCTTTTAGTCTCAAAGTCCACATGCTGGGAGAGAAAGAGACAACGAGTCATTTAATCAGTAACAAAGCGCACGGCTCTTTCATCAAACATCAGCTGTACACACGTTGGTAGTGCGTCATCTTTGTGCGGCGTCTGATCCCCCATCGATCCAAAGTCCATTCAGAAAAGCAGCGCTTTAAAAGCCGTCTGCTTGTTGTTGTCTTGCAGACAGACTTGACACCGCCATGAGTCGCACAATTGAATGTGCGGCCCGGACGATACCGCTGAGCTGTGGTAGGGGGCGCTGTTGCCTCATGAATGAAAACGCTCACATTATCCCACTACTGCTGCTACACACCAACACAGTGACCTGACTGCAGGTATGAGATGTGTCATATGAGATAGGATCGCATATGACATCAGACGTTTTGGACCAAACTAAAATATTTGGTTGTTTCTATTAACGAAAACACTAAAAGTCTGTTTTTAATGAGGCCGGATGAGGTTGTGGAGTCTGGGAAATCACATGATTCAAGGGAGTAGTAAGTGTTTGGGTGTGGGGGATGAATTTCAAAACTTCAGTTAGTTGTTATTTTATTATTTTAAGTAGTTTTATATTTCTTAAGCCGTTTATTATCATGGTAAGGCAATTGATAATACGTTATCATTAAAAGTCTCCGTAAAAAAGCCAACGTAAAACCCCGAGGTTCAATTCAATGCACTCGCTTTGAACCAAGCTCCAGGTCACTTGCTCCGTACCACTGAGTTCTAACGGCTTTGATATTAAACCGACGCCAGTGTGTGCGTTGGGGTGCGCAGCTCGACTCCCCACGTCGCCGTCCTCTCGGCCCCCCCGTCTATGCACCTTCCTCTGTCTCCTCATTTCTTCTTCTGCGCCGAGCGCTCGCGGGGAAAAGTCAACAAATGCGTTGGCAGTCATTGTATGAAATTCCTAATACCAAAGGGAGGCTGTGCGCCATGATCACGAGGACTCGTGCGCCGCCAGCAGCACTCGGCCGCTCATCCGCCGCTCCGTCGTAGCCTTAATCACTCACTCTTATGGGTGTCATTGGCGTATTATGAACCCAGATAATAACCACTTTTTACTTCAGCCACTGTGACTGATGTTAAGCTGGCGAAGTCCCAGGAGCAGGTTGGTCTTTTCATCTTGCCATCGCTTAATGAAACCCCAGTGGGAGCAGAGCGCCTCATGAGCCCTGTGTGAAGGGTTGCAGGTTTTACGAGTCCCGACTCCGGCGGCAACCTCTGTTTCTGAGGAGTGAGGCCAAGGCTGAACTGTCTTAAACGTTCTTGTTTCTTACGGGACGTTGTGGTGAGACACCTTTTTGTTGTGAAAAAGGAGTCTGATGAGTAATTAACTCCCCTTGATTTCCCTCAGTAATCATTGTAAACCTGCGTTTATGGTCAAGTATTCTCCAGCACAGCAGGATGTTCATTGAGTAAATTATCGTCCATTGAGACTCAAAGTATTAAAGTATGCTTTAGGGCGGGGCTTACTGTGATTGACAGCTTGCCACCAGACAGGTGTCCAACGTCTCAGGAGTCCACAACCAAACATTATGGACGGAAGCTTCCACTTGAAAAGATCGAGCATCACAGAATGTCTCATCTTGTACTTTACGCGATACAAAGTTGTGAACTAGCCGAGCAGAGAGAAGAGGGCGAACGCCGGCGAACGCCGGCGAACGCCAGCAAACGCCAGCAACGCGACATCGGCGTTTCCCTTTGGTGGTCCGTGATCAAAGATGGCGGCCCCGTCTCCACCGTCCCCGGCTATTGCCTCTGCAAACGGACTCGCGGCAGCTCTGTCCTCTGATCCGTTTCCCCGTGACTCCACGCTGCGGGGACGCCGCCGCCTCCTCCGTCTCGATTGTTCCATCGCGTCCGTGTTTAGCGCGTCGATGACGGGTACCGCGCTCGTCGGTTTTGTGACCCAGTTCTTTCGTTTTCTTCGTCACGCTCCGTCTCTTTGCCTCTCTCTTCCGCTTCCATCTCGTAGAACTCTGCCTTCATTCTCCCCCCCTTTCCTCACCAGTGTGAGATAATAATATTCACAATAAAGCCCCCCTCCACGCCCCCTCCATCACCAACACACACATGCACACTCGCCTCCTTAATATTCTGTGGACTGCTTTCGTCAGGACACAGTTGAAAGAGAATAGCTGATTAAAGCTCATCCCCGTGTGTGTGTGTGTGTGTGTGTGTGTGTGTGTGTGTGTGTGTGTGTGTGTGTGTGTGTGTGTGAGAGAGAGAATAGAGATTAGTTAGGCTACTCCACACGCTGATTTGAAAGAGTGTGACTTTAACTGTGTAAGGTACCTTGAGAGGCTAAAGGTGTTAATTTCCCCCGAGAGTAATCATGACACACACACACACACACACACACACATTGAATCAGCGTCAGCCTATTAAGCATTCGTTCCAGGAGACACGTGGATCCATGTTGACGGATTGTTGTGTGATGGCTCCTGCCGTCAGTCATGGAACAATATTTCATCCGCTGCGCTCTCAACAACCACCGCCGCTACGGTGATGTTTTACAGCCACGCTGTGTGTGTGTGTGTGTGTGTGTGTGTGTGTGTGTGTGTGTGTGTGTGTGTGTGTGTGTGTGTGTGTGTGTGTGTGTGTGGCACCAGACTGATTTTACAAGGACTGTCATGTTTCCTTTCAGTTATACTGAGTTGATGTTCACACATGCACTTAATTTAAAGTTTTCCGTCAAGTCGCACGCACACACACACACACATCGTGCCCCACTTGAGTGTAATCAGCTGCTCTCATTTCATTGATTGGGCTGTCCTGCTTTGCTCATCAGTGCATTTAGTGAACTTGTAGTTGGATCCGTCTTTGAAAACCACACATTTAAACAATTCACAATGTGTGCTTTTCCAACCTTTTATCTGTAATAACCTGGGTTCTCCCAACTCTAACCTCAGTTTTTTACTTATCTAGGGATTAGTGCCTTGCTCCAGAGTCTGCACAGTGACGTCATTGCTGTCTGGACAAAGAATCACTCTAATGCACGTGCTGTAATTACATATTTGGATGCCAAGTCTGCTTTTCTTGGTCCGGATCAAACCCAGGCGAGCCAGGCGTTGCTCACTTTGCAGCATCTTCATCAACATTCAAAATAACGTATGGGAGAATACGGACATGGGTCTCTGGGTGAACAATACTTTTTTTCCTGGCTCAACAGCAGCATTAAGTCAGTGACGACATAAACAGGATCACAGATGAGTCTGTGCATTGGTTGAAATCCCCACACTAAACTGCTTTGTCTGGAGAAAAAGTGCCAGCTCGACTACATTTCTGTGCCGGCAAATTGAAAAAGTGGACAATGACGCACGAACGGAAGCAGCCGCCTTTTCAGCTTAAAGTGCTGTTGACCTCGTCTCTAAGAGAAGCCATCGGGAAGTCTGGACTTTCCCGTTGGCTTTTTAACATTCAGATCTTTGCGGCTTTTTGCTGAACAAATGGAACCTGACTTTGTTTCCCAGGTTGGAGCACCCTCTGCATTTTGGTCCACCCTCCAGTCAAAATAGCTACAATCAATATCTGCGAAGGCAAAGACTGAGCTGTATTGATGAACCTACAGACCCTATGGCCGGTTTCTGCCGAGCCTCGGGTTTATGGAGCTTTACACCGAGTTCCAGCTCATTGTGTGACAGCAGCGGTTCTGATTTGGTTCAAACGGACACAACAACACGGTCGTGAACTTAGTGGGGCGTTTAGCAGCTAAAGATTCCGATTTTTCCATCAAGATATGTTGGAGATGAAGAACCACAGCTGAAAGAGGGGCCGTACGAGCGATGATGCTCCTCCTTATGGTACCTTCACACCGAACGTGCCGCGAATGTGTCACCTCAAACGCTCTAAACGCGGCGTCCATTCGTGGTCAATTAGGAGAAAACCCGGTCAATTTTCAAAATAAGTAGTACCAAACGGCCCACGGCCCGGTGGTTGGGGACCACTGCTTTATACTACTTAATATTTAGTATCAGTGTGTCGTTTAACAATACCATTACCCTACACTTTATTGTACTATATCCAGTGCAGTGATGGGGTGCGAGATCTTTCCCGGACCGGTCGATAGCGATAGGAATGTTTCAACTTTCGCGTTTGGGCGTTTGCTGCGTTTGACGCGACCTTACCCAAAATCTCGTTGACTTTCCCACGATCTCAACACGGGAAAAGCGCTGCTCAATCACAGATCTGCGTCCCTCCGGCGTCATCGTCTCTGCATAGACTTTGTATGTAATCTTGGGGCGCAAAACGCTGGCGACGCGTTCGGTATAAATGTACCGTTACCCGCTCAGTGCTAAAATAAGCAACCCGTGGCTGACGACGATGTCCCGCCAAGTTGTTCAAGTTAAAGTTGCGTTCGCAGCTTCCTTCTTCCTCCCAAGTGGCTAAAAACATCACCAAATGCGTCGCAGCTCTTGTCCTGTCCTCACCTTCTTCAGTTTGATAACAGCCTCTCTGGTCTCTGAGTCGGTGCTCAGCTCAAACATGCTCAGTCCGTCTCCGTCTATTAGGCGGTAGGACACCATCCCGTTGTCTCCAAGGTCGGGGTCTTTGGCCTTAAGGCGGCCCACCTCCTCTCCGGGCACCTTATCCTCTGATACGGACATGGAATACACACCTGAGGAGGAAAAAGTAAAGACTATTAAACATGCTCAGGCACCGATGTCTGTCCCGTTTCATGGTATTCGACCCTCTTTTAGGGTCTCTGGATAATTCCTGGCTGGCGGCCACTGTGTTTACTATCTGAGGCAGGGGTCAGCGTCGGAGGGCAGGGAGGCATTCACGTGAACTATGCCATCTGTGCGGTGTGGCCCGGAGGATGTTAAAAGTGTCAGGTGGGTGTGCGTCTGAGGGAGCGGACACCTGGCTTGTGGATTCAGAGCAGGAGGACCATATGTCTTCTGTTTACCCCTCGTCCCTCCTGTACTCCCTCCCCGCTTCATCTCATCGGTCTCATTTTAACTGTGAAACCCCGTCTTACTATCCAGTGGAATCATCGCTTTACCGCGTTACCATGACGTCGCAGTCCGCATCATCAAATTCATTTGGGGTCGTTTAGCTTCTAATGGGCAGAGGGAGGGGACTCGCAGGACCCACAATCCATAAAAGCCTTCCACCCTCACCCCAAATCCCTCCTCTCCAGCCTCTCGCTCCTACTCTCACTTGCCTCTGACTCTTTTCCAGGTCACCCTTGCCAAATCCCCCCCCCCCCCCCTTCATCCTCACCTCTCCTTACCCTCTCCTTCCTGTTGTACGTCCCTCCACCTCCTTTGCTTTGCCTCTTCTGGCTAGGAGCTAATTTCATCCGTGCCCCCCCCCCCTTTTCCCCCCTCTCTCCTCCCGGCGTTCCATTCTTGCCTTTCCTAAGGAGCTATACTTCGATGGCTCCTGGGCGCCGAGTTAAACCCTGTGAGAGGACACACAGGCCGCCTGGCGTACCTGGCTCAGGGAGGACGCGAGTATTTCCTGTTTCCTCCCTAAAAACAATGGTCTCTCTCACCAGTTAGTTTGAGTCGGCAATCAAATGCTGTCATTCGTTTCTGTGTAAGTGTAATGATCGCTCTTCACATTAGATCCCAGGAGCAGCTCCTCAAACCCGCAAAGTTTAGACGTAAACACTATAAAACACCAATAAATGATTTCCTGGACTGTAATAACGGCTTTATATTACTTTTTATTTCATATTGGAGGCTCTTGAGTTTAGGGAGACATACGAAACTCCCTCCACATAATGGGAACCAATTATTAATTCTTTCTCAAAAACAAGCTTTTCATGTATACATTTTTAAAACATTATTGAGAGTTGCATATGAATGTCTTTACATTTAGCTCAGATACTAAACCCATTGTTGTTCTTATTTGGGGGGGTGATGAGAATAAATGGTTCTGCAAAAGCAATCCCAACACAGTGGAGGTAAATGATATGCGCAAATACAATCCTGTATTTATATCAAAGGAGAAATGATCTCTCTCAGCTCCAGACGTCTGCTATCGTTGTGCTTTGTTCTTTGTTCTCGTGTCAAAAGAAGGCCGAGAGACGTCCATATTCCACACAACCGTCTCCGTCACGTCGGCCTCATGAAGACTGAGGAGCAAATTGTTGTTTGCCTCTGTTTATTCTGCCGTGATTGATTTCTCCCTCCTGATAATGAGGTGAGTGGGAGAGGAAGTCCGTGTGAGACGGAGGGCTCGGGCCTCGCGGTTGAAGGAGAAACGGCTTCAATGGAACGCCGTCAACCGGCCCGCTTTAATCTGTCATTGTCTTCTCTCCTCTCTTTCATTTGTGTTTTTTGTTTCTTCAACTTGCTTATCTGATTCCCCCCCTCTCCCTCTCTCTCTCTCACTCAGCCCAACTACTAAATAAGTAATCGCTGTCCTCATTCACACCATCTGGGAGGCCTTTCTCGCAGGTGTTGGTACCGCTTCCACACTTTTGTTATAGCTAAGGTAGCGACATCCTCACCATATTGCTATTTGATGTGCTGTCTTGTATCACAGATGTAAACTGCCAGCGATGCTGATATTTAGAAGTAATGCAAAGAGGCACTTTGTAAACACTTATTGCTGATAATGAGGCTATGACTCCTCCGTTATGTCCTTTTGCTATTGTTTTGTCCTGAGAACCCATTATTACCGACTCTTCTCAACACGCTTGGTTCTCCATTGTTCTGTGCATCTTTATTATTAGAACTATTATTATAAAGACTGAGGTGCTGTCTTGGAGTCACTGTGCGGCTTCGCTGTTGGCTTCAACCAGCTATCGGTTCTCCGGGCAGAAGCAGATCTCCGCCTTGCTGCATCGGGCCGGGTGTCTAAAGGGAATCTGCTCCTTGGAAGAACTGCCCCCTCTGTCCACAGGGGGCGCCAGAACCAACACTAAAGTAAATAACATTTAATAATTCATTCCTTGGCTTGACTTCCCCAGCTTCTAGCTAGCTAGCGAGCGACATCTTTTTTGGGTCACACACACACACGCACTTCTGTTTACACACACATGGACTGACGAGGCCCACACGCATGTGCAGAGCAGAGCGAGACTAAAGAAGCTGCGGTGGGTGGAGGCGCCGGCAGACACCTCCTAAAGTCTGTACTCACTCTGCGGGAACTTTGGCGGGTTATCGTTGACGTCCGTGAGGGTGATTTTGACCTGGGTGGTTCCTGACAGCCCCCCCATGTGACCGCCCATGTCTTTGGCCTGGATGACCACGTCGTACTCCTGGCGCGCTTCCCGGTCCATGTTGGGCAGGGCAGTGCGGATGATACCTGATGGGACAGAGTTTTACCGTCAGATGACAATTATACACAGTATAATACAGGTGCATGGCTTTTTACTGACTGCTATACTGACTGTTTGTTTGACAGTCCACTGTGTGAGTTTGCCTTCAGCACCCTGTACTAATATAATATTAGGGGTGGGAATCTCTTGGCACCTCACGATTCAATTCAGATTCAGAGGTCAACGATTCGATTCTAAACCGATTATCGATTCTAAACTGATAAAACAATTATCGATGCATCTCACTTTATTTGATAATTAAAGGAAATCAACAGATGAATTACCTTCTCATTTTTTATAAGAGAAAAAAAAATCTTTGTCACAAATGAGTTTCTATCAACAATGCAGGAACCAATGCAGCTTGCATTTCAACACAATATGGGAAGTAGCCTATGTAAAAAAATATTAAACAGATTCATTTTTCCTTTAAATGAGAAAAGCTGCTCTTAGTCTCAGACCGGTCCGTATTTGTAAAATACCGGAAAAAAGTCCAAATCTGTGAATATCTTGCCAACTTTCAATACGGATCGACTTTTTGGAAAATCAAAATAATGAGGTAAGATGTGCGCAGACTCCTCCATAGTTCGGTAAAGTTGGCAAGATATTCAGATTTAGACTGACCGACCGGTCTGCGAGCTGGACGCATTGCTCTTAATGTGCCGGTAACGATGGTAAATGCTGGTTGTAGCTGGTTGTCATCTACGGTCCACTACGGTTACCGAAGCAGGCCGTTTATTTTTTGACAACGTTTGACAATGAGCGCGAGACAGACTTATAAAAAAAAATGTATTCAGATTATTAACTTTTCTGAATCGAGACCGAATCGTTCTAGAGAGAATCGAGAGAAATCGAAAAATCTACAAATAAACTTGATTTTTACATAGAAAAGTATATCATACTTTTGTATTGTATTTTTGTACTTGTACCGTCCCCTTCCGTCCCTCATTTTTCCCTGACATACTGCAGTGTCTAGGAGTTGAAGCTTTCTACTGTCATATTATGCTGTGTGTGTGCGTGTGTGACAGCATGCAAAGCTGATAATCTCCAAACCAATTAGAAATGTGAGCTATGGATTTGAGCCAGTCAAATACCCAACACCGGTTTGATTAGCCAGATTTTCTCCGCCCAAATCGCTCACTTTCTCGCTGTGCCTCCAGCACTCTTTCCCCTAACTGACTCTCTCTGAGCCCATTTGTCTCTCACTCGCTCTATTATATCCATTTTCACCCCGCTGACCCATCAATGCTCCACCTCTGCCCTGACCTCTCTGCTTGCAACCAATTTCTTCTATTAATGCAAGCCCAAAAATTGGCCCAGGGCTCCGGTTCACGGTTGAGGGATTCCCAACCATATCATTTTTTTATTTATATTTTTTTGTTGTTTTATCGCATTTTTGTTGCAATGACTTAATACTACGATTAGGTCACTGCACACAATTACAGCTTTAAAAAAGGAGGTGTAAAATTATCAAAACCGAACAACATGAATCATTATTGGATTATGGACTGCGGCTTTTTATGACTTGCCATAACATTTTTTTGCAACCAATGAACGGAAGTGACCATATTCTTACTGCGAAAGGCTGACTTTTATGGTATAAACACTATGTACTTGACTCAAAATGGACCATACTTGACTAAATGAACACCATGTTGTTCTCTGTGGACCCGGGGCAGGGTTCTGTCCTCATGCTCACCTGTCTGGGACTCCACGGAGAAGTACGGCTGCCCCTGCAGGATGCTGTACACCAGCCTGGCGCTGTTTCCATAGGTGGGGTCATCGGCATCTGTAGCGGTCACCTGCACCACCGACGTACCTTCGGGACAGACGTGACGGACAGGTCAGGAGATGTCTCTCAGACTCTGGATTTAGAAAACTTTTTTTTAAAGCCCACTTACGACTTCCTGTAAATTAATTTTCACTGGACTTTGACAATTTTTTTGACAACAATTTTTTTCCCCAAAATGTGACAACTCATGAAAGGAACTCAGCCAACAATAGTAAAGACAAATAATGAGGCAGATCAGCTACAGATGGACGTGTGTCATGGCCTCCTATAAGCAACGGAAGTAACACCACCACATGCAGGTCAAGTTTTGAATTTTGATGACATTTGTCCTAGTTCTTGGACCTGGTCCTGCCCCACGGGTCTCCACTGTGTCGGGGGCCCATCCAACCCATCTTGAAACACGGATTGTTTTCCCCTGCTGCATGATGTTTCCAAAAACCAATTCATGTTACATAACTCAATCTCAATATTTACCTAAATGTTCATTATGGGTTTTGCCTTAATAATCGAGTGTCTCTCTAACCCAGTGTTTTGTTTGTCCCCAAGACTACTTAAAGACTTTTCATTTTCACATTTGCTGTTTTGATGTCTTCAGCTGTGAGAACGTCACGATCCAACTCCATACAAAATTTATGGGGAATATAAGTGTAAGCAACTTCCACTCAACCCTGGTCTCATTGGGCTACTTTAAGTGCTCTGGGTAAATGACCAGGAATGAGACTTCCTCCTGTTCTAGTTCTGACATTCCATGAGGGAACATGGACCTAGTTTGTAAATTTACAGCTTTTATTTCTGTTTCACTACCCCGGTTAGGGATGATGAGGCAATCCTCCCTGCCAGACTTCTGTATTCAAGGTTCAGCTCAACAGAAATCATTCACAATGTCCTTTTCAGAAGCTCCTTATTTCGATGTCCAATCCATTGAGAGAAAGGATTTCTCCGGCTTTCAGAAAGCTCCGCTCCACTGCCGGTGTGGATCATTTAAGGTCAAACTCGAGGGGTTGAATACCCCGACCACATCCCCTTTGGAAGGAAAATCTATCGAGATGAATAGCTTGGAGTAAGGAGACTCTAAGGAGATGGCCAATGCCAACCGTGTGCTAAATATTTCCTTGCTCCTTGTTGTAGTGAAAGACAAGGTTAATAAGTGAACACCCTTTTTATGGGACTTCTCCGTCACACGTACTGGGGACAGGCTACATAATAATACTAATGTATGTTAAATGCTCTTCAGCAAACACACAATGAACATGCATTTACCTCCTAAACTGCTTTTCGCTACACTATTGTTAGACCACAGTATTTGATATCTAGATTGTATGAACCTGAGCCGGACCTCCTGTACAAACCCCTTTTCTTGTTTTACTACTCACCAACATTGGACATCTCAGGCACCCTGGCATAGTAGGGCCCGTGTAGAAACTCTGGGGGATTGTCGTTGATGTCTTGAACTTTCACTATGAACTCTGACGGAGGCTCCAGAGGCTTGTTGGTGTCTCTGTCCACGGCCTGGGCCGTCAACGTGTACTGGGCCTGCTCCTCGCGGTCCAGGGTCTTTGTGGCGTGGATGTTGCCCGTTTTGTCGTCAATGACAAAGATCGTTCCCGCACCTTCGCCGGACAGGATGTACTTGATGTTGCCGACGCCCGAGTCGACGTCCGAGTGGAGCTGAAGTAGGGGAGGGGGAGGAGGAAGGTGAGATACAAACGGAGACATTTGCAAAGGACGTGTGTCTGTGGTGCCGACAAAATCTGGCGGGCGAGTGGATGACAGGCGATCACTAATAAGTAAGACATTTAAAACGATGTCGTCACTCCGGAAAATAGAAGAATTACCCAGCGTTCAATTAAAGTCTCGTTCTTCCTTCACAACCCTTATAGGATGAAATATGGCGCATTGTAAACATCATTTGTGGTTTGTTATGAAAGCAGTCTGAGGGATGCTGTTGTTGTGGAGGAGCACCACCAATCATCTTCACCTTGAATGTCTTTCGCTCTCCCTCTTGACGAATGGGAGAAGCAGGTTTAAATCTTAAGGGAGTTTGTGATTTGTTGTGGCCCCACCCTGATGGTGTATATGTTGGGTAATGAGGCCACAAGTTAAACAGCAATTGTTATTTAGTTATTAATCATGTTCCACTCAAGAGAGGCTGATCCAAGAACACTTTATTTACTTGTGCTTTGATTTACTCACCCTGCCCACCAGAACTGGGTCAGGCCCAGTGTACTCCTCAATGACGAAGAACTGATTCCAGACCCACCCTCGTTTGGACCTGTGGAGAACCTGCCCCTCCTTGCCAGTCCTCTGTCTGTGTCTGTGCAGCGACAAGTGACCTACAGGCACAAAAGCAACTCCATTTACCAAAGACGTTATCACCACAACTGGTTTTCTGACCGTATTGTCCATTGATTAAATACAAAGTGGGAGGACATTTGGAGTTATGGGTCATCTGATTGAAGAGCTTGTGGGTGGCTTTTGTATTTCTTTTCTCTAAGCAACACACTTAACCTCTGTTGCAGTGCAGATGCTCAGTGGCTAGCTGGAGCGGCTGTGGTTTTACCGAGCAGCTGCCATGTTTGAACATCTGTAACTGAAGGGTACCTCGAAGGAACAAATTAATCACAAACTAAGTCTTTGCTATAAGTGAAGAATTACGTGAATAAAAAAAAAGGAAAAATGTAAATACAAATGCAATCAAGATGCATCAAAAACGTAATTATACAAACCGTCTTGGGAGATGTTTAGAGTACAGGAAGACGTTGTTGACAAGACGATGTTAATGTTAATGTAAGGGGGAGACACATTTGAATTCACTGGAGGAATATATTTACTTCACAGCTTTGATGGTAACCTGAACAATATTAATATCTGCAGTACAAAGCGACTCATGGTCACGAGGGAGCGACCATTGTCATCTCTGCATCGACGGAGGGAAGTCTGCAGAACAGTTCCTGATGCCAGGAAGTGCGTTAAAGCCAAACAAAGCAGGAGTCGTGGGTCCCTCGGTCCTACCTGGGTGCCTGTGTCTGTGGACCCTCTGATCCAAGGACTCGCTTCCTCTCCGGGTCCCCAGTGCGACGCCACAAAGCGCCGAAATCCCCACCAACACCAGGAAGGCCCGTAGCGGCCCGAGGCCGTGCCGTTTCATCGCCATGTTGCCCGAGCAACCGTGCGCTTCACTCCGCCCCCTGCTGTGTGGTTCCTCCCAGTGGAGCTCTGCTCCCACTGATGCGATAACTGGTTTCTGCTACCGAAATGTTGTTGACGAACTTCGCTAGTTCATCAGCCGAGGAGGGGCCTGTCGATTGCGGATGCTCATCACCAACTTTTCCCGTTATTGCCTTTTTTCTTTTCACAGTTGGTTGACTCCCACACTCCTCTGATCACAGGGCCTATAAGGGACAGAAAAAACTGCTTATGAGCGATGCAAAAGAACAAATAGACATTCAGTTAAATGAAGCATTTCCCAGGCGAATAGATCCATTTTTAATAAGTGATGCATTCACCACTGACTGCAGAAACAACAAACATTCTGCTGATACTCCGGTCTGTTATAAAGGCTAACGTTAATTGGCTGCAGTTGGAGATGTGACTTCATAAATAGTTGTGTTGATTAGGACATTCTGCTAATTACGCAGACAATGCTGTCTGTAAAGCCATTAGCTTTAATTCAATTAGACACTGACTGATTCGGTGTGGGAGGTGCAGCGCATGAGAAGCTCCACGTTGCTGTTTAGCTCTATTTACAGCCCCCTTCAGTAATGTCACGCAAACAGGAAAACGTATGAAAGTCATTAAAGGCAGATTTTAGTATCCTGACTGGATCTGTTGCACAGCCCGACTCCTCCTGACCTCTGAAGCAAGAAAACAAGTGTTCCTTACAAGAAACTACAGATTATCGTCAATGAAATGCGCAAAGTGCCATTTTGATGAAGTGTCTTGGCATATGAGCGGGTTCTAGCCGAACGGATTGAGTGATTCAGCATTTCTCCACCAGGCACGCTTAGTTCCTCCTTTGGATACGATCCTTAAAAACCATCCCATAGGAGTTTTTACACAGCAAACTTTTAACTAGCAATGTTCACTAGTAATGCAATGTCGCAGTCTAACTATGTCATGCCACGCTCACCTTAGCAATAAAAAAGTGTTTTCATAATAGGTCCGACAAAACGGTTATTCTGTTGTACCGAGGCAATTTTAGAGTGTACATGATTACACTTCATTAAGGTAATGAAGTCACTTAATTGACCCACACATATCCCACAGATGTCTCATTTCCTGGCCCAGTGGTTCAACTATATCATTCGCACACAGAGCATCTCCAAGGAACCTCCAGTCAGACTCTGTAACCAGCTGCAGATCCTGCATGTTACATTCCCCATAGCGTCTCTCAATGAAGAGACAAGCGATGCCAACACCGCCGAAGTAGACTTCAAAACATTTGCATCACAGCCGACAGGATTCCAAACGCCTCTTGAATACGCGCGAGACGCAGACAAACAAATCCTTTTACAACGGTGACAAATTAGTTTTTCTAGCTGTAGCTGTGAGAATCTTTTCTGTACCCTGAATCGCTGCGGTTTCTGTCTTGAACATGTGAATAAGGGTTGTGTAGGCAAATGGGTGCATTTAATATTCAATAGCTCCGTAAATGAGAAAATCCCCTCAGGGCTCATTGGCTCCTGTTGACCACACGAGCAGCCAACCAGGAAGTGTTGACGGTTAATCCCTCACCAGCTCATCATCTGGCTAATTATCCTCCAGAGTTGTGATTGATGTGCGTGCGTGTGTGTTTGTGTGAGTCTAATATCTGTATGCATGAGGCTAAAAGCTGTTTGGGGCGTATGTGGTAACGGAGAGAAAGAAATGAAAGAACAATAACGAAGCAGAGGCCCTTTGAGTTGAGGACTTTTCTAACATGTTGCGTCCCCCAGCTCTGGTGTTGGTTGCTACATGTGTTTGGGTGCGTGCAGTGTGTCTTGATTACACATGAGCCACACCTGGGTTGGCGCTACAAGGGCTTCCTGGACCGCTCTCGGGGGCCACACAGATCCTTGAGAGTCTGCACAACGGTGCTTGCGGCTGCCAAGATCGCCGTCCACCCGTCCACCCGGCAGTGAAAACGCTCCACATTTGTATTTTGTTTTAGTTTGTTGTTAAAATACCTTTAATATTTATTATTATTTATTTATTATTTATTGTTTTGACACAAGCCAGTTTGTGCGCGTCTCGCCTTTATGTTAAGTGTGGTGTCCGGCGGCTCGTCCAGCATCAATAGTTTTGAGTAAATCGGACTAAAGTGTAAAATTGCGGAACTTCTGAAAGCTACAACTTTTTGGTGAGTATCCTGGTGGGCAATCATGGTTGTCTGTTCGTTTGTTGAGTCGATGTTTATTTTATTTTTGGTGGATATCTCAGGAGGGGGCAGAGTAAGCCACTGAAGATAAGTAGGTATCTAGAATTTGGTTTTGTGTACAGCTAGTGAGAGTAGTTGGACAACATTCTGCCTCTTTGCATCTGTCACGTGTATTCTTAGAAGTTGTCACTCGAAGGTACAATTCATTTGTGCGTTCGAACAGACAACGTGAGAAAAATCCCCAAAACAATTATAAAGCGGGTGTGCACTGACACCTGCTCCGCTCAATCTGTTAACACGCTTAAAACTGTCAAGAGTCAAATTAAGCCACGGTTTTTATTTAACAAGTAAAAAATACTGTCTGAAATAAATTGCCTTCACCAATATCCTGAAACCCTGTCACCCGTCCTGTTACTGGTCTGAGACTGTCGAGCCAAACAACAACGGTAATGGCGCTGATTGGTTGCGGAGTGACAGCTCAGGAATACAGGCGTGACTTTAAACATATCGTGACCGGCGTGACCTGTCAAATTATAGTAGGAAGAAATAAAAAGGGGAATTACTTTTGTTTTTGATAAAATGCTGTAAATATCTCAACAGTCCAATTTCCTCCATTGTACTCAATGGAGAGTCTTGTTTAACGGAATCCAAATGTAGTTTCTGTCTCTGATATTCTTTCTTTTGCTCCTCCTTTTAAGGCGTAGCTCTACGGAAAGAGGGAGAGAGAGAAGGCAACCCAGAAACCGTGATAATGACTCCCAGGGCAGAACAGACCGTTGGCCAGACCACTTCCTCTGTCTGAATACGACTCAGGAGTCACATTAGGAGTGTGTGTGTGTGTGTGTGTGTGTGTGTGTGTGTCACATGTGTCAGAACAGTAGAGCTGGAAAGAAATGCAGCGCGACAAGCCCCACGGGCCGAAATATTCTCCTTAACTGACCAACCCAACCACATTCTTACATTTCTTTATGAACTATGACATTTGAGTACGTCTCTGTGTTAATGACCTACATGCAGTGTTTCCACCAAACACACAATGCTGGAAACAGACACCCAGCGTTTAGCTCACACCGCGAAACCTGAAGCTTAATGGCCTTTCACTAGTGTACACCACTACCTCTTCTACCCCTGTAAGAGGTAAGGTGACAGGAAGGACGGAGTCAGAGTTAAATGGTGACATGTGTGGATTTCGTCGGGGGAATCAGTCATTTTCTGACGTACCCTGAAGGTTTGGAAGTGGAATCAGCCCTATAATCTCCTCTGTGCTTCTCGCACTGCTTCCCTTTGAACCGAAAAGCCGTGAGAAACCAACAGCCAAACAGTCGGCCTTCTTTAACAGGATGTGTGTCTGCGGACAAGATGAATGCGTTTCTTCTCTTCGTGGCGCTCGGCCTCACGCTAAGCCTCTTCACTCGGAGGAGCTGCAATAACCGTGATTATCTCCGGAACCGAAACGAAGCGCAGAGCGCCGGCACGTCGGCGCGCCCCACGGACTGCGGATGGATGGCCATTTCTAAAGTCTCTGGTTTTAGTGCCATTTAGTTTTTTTTTGGGGGGGGGGGTACGTGTCTGTTTCCCGAGGCTTCATTTGCACAATCAGGATTTATTTGATAGAACGTTGTGGTTTTATTTTTCCTCACTTAAAAGCTCCGATCCGTAACCCGAGCGTGTCGTGGGCAGTTAGTTTGACTTTGATAGATGCAAGTGGTTCATTAAATTGTTCAGGACAGGTGTGATCCAGCAGGCTGATGAGCTTCTCCTCAGTGGCGTTGTCTCCAGCCGAGGCGGATGAGCAGCTTGTGTCTTGGCTGAGTTAGTGTTAAAAATTTGCAATGCCGATACCAATTTAGTGTTTTGGTGCTAAACCGACGTCGTGATGGCTTTTTTCAGGCATTTCTCTGCAACGTGTCTTTTGTACACTATTGCACACAGTTCTCACAACTACATCCTTTCAAAAATAATTTTCAGGTCAAAATGAGAGTTCAATGAACAGAATAAAACAATTTGGATTATCGTTAGAACCACTGTGGTGCCTTTGCCTCCTCCAAAGACCCTGCCTGGAGATGAACTCCGGACCAGGTGCAGAGGATCGGGTGTGGAGATGTTCGGAGTTGCCCTTTCACTCGCACAGCGCGCAGCAGGAAGTGGTCGGATGAATTCTCCCCTCCTGGACATGTCCTGTCAGTTCGTAGAGGAGCTCCATTGCCGCTTCCTAATCAGGTCATCAACAATCGAGGGTCTTGTCAGTTTGAGCGTTTGCCCTCACAGACCGAAGTCTCTCCACCTGGACATCTATCTGTGAGTCTCGTATAAATGAGCCTCTTCCATCATCCTGGGATTTTTCTATTTTTCTCCACCAGCTTCATAATAGAAGTTCCATCAAGACATTCAGCGAACAATGTGTGGCTCTATCCACTCATGGGCTCCACTCGACACTGAAGAGACTTTGTTCAGGGGGCCGGCACGGTGAAGTCTGTGGTTCAACTGATTTGGACATTTGCCTTTGCACATGCAGCTCCTCTGGGAATTGTTTGGGTGATTTCAGGGTGGCAGTGAATGTGTGAAAACGGCCTTTGTGGACTTTTGAACCGTTACACAACAACGAAGGCTTTCTCTCAGCTTTCTATCACCTCTAGTCTCTGAGCTTTCTATCATTTCTAGTCCACGTTGGTGGATCTGTCGGGTTTTCACCTAATTTTTGCTTTCGCTTTCAACCCCTGCATTAAAATACCTTCAGGAAAATGGCTAGAACCCAGAGAAGGTGAACGGAAAAGCTACTCCCCCCCCCCCCCCCCCCTCCCCCGCCCTGAATCATTCCGTCTCTTTTTTCTCTCCAGGGCTACGTGGTAATAAAGGTGATTGATGTACGAATGTGATAGATATCTGCGATGCAGCTTCCTGCTGCTTGTCACTGCGTATGTACCTGCCTGTGTGTGTCTCTTCATGCCTCTCCTCCGCCCACCTCTCCACATATTGTGTGTTTCAGGGATGATTCCACAAACAGCCTTTGTCTGGACAATGTGCACAAGAGGATGA